GGACTTTTAGTATTGAAAATGGGCGATGTAGGTCCACATTTTGGTATAGCCCACCTATTATGGTACCTCCCGATATTCGGTATTTTGATGATTTTAGAGACATTATTCATCGGAAGAGTTTCAAATTTGGTATTTGAAGTTCGTAATGGATACCACGTCTTCGTAGAGCCCCCATATCACGGTACCTCCCGATATTCGGTAGTTTAATAATTTTCTAGACATTTTTCACCAGCATTGTGTCAAATTTGGTATTTGAAGTTAGTAACCGATACTACAGCCTATGACAGAAAATGGTCTATGCAGGTCCACGTCTTCGTATAGCCCCCATATAATTGTACCTCCCGATATTCGGTAATTTGATGATTTTATCAAATTTATTCGCCGGAATTGTTTTAAATTTGGTATTTAAAGTTCGTAATGGATACTAGAGCCTACGACAGAAAATTGTCTATGCAGGTTCACGTCTTCGTGTAGCCCCCATATAACGGTACCTCCCGATATTCGGTATTTTGATATTATCGACATTATAACCGATTTTTTTTTAATATGACGGCTACATTTGGTATTTTTAAGTTTTTAACAACATTTTTAAAGGATTTTATTTTTTTGAAAATTGCCAAATTCGTTCCAAATGGTGGAGGGTATTCAATGTTCGGCCCGCCCAAACTAACAGCTTTTTTACTTGATTTTGATAAAAATCATCTTTTTCTTGGTCGTTATTAAATCTTCTTCAATATTCCGCGTTCTGGAGCAATGCAGCGTAACATTGTTTATTAATGTGCATTTCGCACGTGTTTACTACAAAATTGTCAAAACAGAACTGACATTAGGGGCCAATTGAAAATTTATAGCATTTTGTGATAGGAGGAGTACTTTTGCGCCACCTGTTATGAGACACTGTTGCCGTGTCAAAATCCCCACGGGCATAATCCCTATTACAATTATGGGGATTATAATCTTTTTTCGTTCATAATAAGTTGGAATTATGTCAAAAAATCGGTCATAAGCCCTATAAAAATGACGATTATGTTCTAAACAATTACGGGCATAAACCCCATTAAGGGGAATGTATTTTTAACCTTATATTTTTTTCGTGTGGGAAATACCCGGTTCTTCGACCCGAATATTCAGATACAAAATCCGGGTTTTATACGGCTCTACAAACCTGGAAACATCACGAAGATTATAAATGTTGCGAATTTGCACTTTTTCTTGTCAACATTTCTTCCTTAGTTCACACATGCTACAATTTCTCATTCCCCAAAATTGTTATTACGCGGTGTAAGAGATGACAATATTTTCCTTTGTCATAACAAAATTGCGTTTCACACGCTCTGTTACCGTCGAGTTTACAACTTCACAAGAAACTCTTATCTTTTAAATTAAAAATCTAAAATCAATTGAAAACCTCTTAAAATATCAACTATCAATTGATTGCTACAATAAATATCGTTAGTAATTATTTGATTTGTTGATTGGATGGCTCGGAACAAAAAAAGAAATTAAATGGTTATTATTATCTACAGGTAAACACCAAAGATAATCAATCAAATAATTTTTTTTATGAATGAAATAAAATTGAGCAAAAAATAGAAATGCGCATCTAAACATGTATGGGTCAATATTTTTGATTTTATGGGGGATTACCAATAGCTAAACAAAGGATGACTAAGTTACAATGGGGCATTTTAAGGTGTGGGCGCGGCATATCAGCTAAGAGCAAATATTTGATGTTTTTTACTATTTTATGAAGAAATTAGTCACTTATCAGGAACTTATAACACTTCAACACAAAATTAGTTCTCGGAAAAATCTTGCAGATTATGAAAGTAGGGCTAAAAATAGAAGACACGGTTTTGAAAGTTCACATCGTAAAGTATCCCAAATAGAGAAGGACGCGGGAGGCAGGCATTCCACATTAAATTTTTTTCAGGATTGTAATCCTTGGAGTCTTTTAATTTTTGGTGTATTAATGATTATAATTCAAGGATTATTTTGGTAGACAATTTCAACCTTCAAACGATTTTGGTCCTTTTTTAAAATACGGTTTAAATCTTCCTTTAAACGGGATATTAACAAGTCAAAATATTCTACAAAATTATTGGTCATAATATTCTACTTTAAGACTTAGAAGACAGCATCAGTATAAATCTAACCTAATTGTCAAGAATCCACCTATACAGGGTGAGATGAAAAAACTGCAACCAATTTCAGACTACTGTCATTTCTAAGCCACTCGCCCGACAGCTGTTAAAATTATTTCAGTACCAGTTTATTATATTGTTTACAAGCGTACAAAAGCATTTTGGTGAGCATTTTCCAGAAAAAAAGTTATTCGTGATGGAATTCAAGCGTGATAGTGTGATTTCTTTATATTTGGCTGAAAACCCCCAAGTGGCTATCGTTAGAGCACTCCAGCATTTAAATGTGAATAAATCTTTTGCGTCTCGTACCATCGATCGTTACCGTGACACTGGTGTGGTAGCCCGACGTCAAGGAAGTGGACGGAGGAAAATAACAACATCAGCAGAAAAGGTTCGAAAAGTAAAGAAGCGACTTGATCGAAAATAGACTCAAAAGAGCTAAAGAGCTGCCGAATTTGGTTTTCTCCGATGAGAAAACATTTGTTGTCCGGCAGTTTGTAAACAAACAAAATGATCGTGTTTACTTGCCAAAGAGGTCAGCTGAAAATGTGCACCACCAGAACACAAGCGCCGGCCATGGTGATGGTGTGGGCCACCACAACTGCTGATGGTCGTTCTCCGCTCGTGTTAAGCGACCGTGGCATCAGAATAAATGCCGAATATTATCGCGAAAATATTTTGGAGGGTGTATTAAAGCCTTGGGCTCGCAAACATTTTGGCCGCAGACCTTGAACATTCCAACAGGACTCAGTACCATCGCACTCAGCATGCGCCACCCACAAATGGTTACAAAACGAGGTTTCTTGCCTCATTTCCACCGCACAATGGCCACCAAAATCTCCGGATACCAATCCGTTGGACTATTGTGTCTGGAGTATTTTGGAAAGCAAGGTTGGCACTAAAAAATACCAAAGTGTCGATCACCTCAAGCAAGCGCTTCGCCGGAAATGCACCAAAATACCGCAGAGCAACATTCGGGCAGCGTTTGACGGTTTCATTAATAATTCGTGCCAAAGGGGACCAATTCGAACAAACCTAAACTTATTCTAAAATTTAATGCTATTTCCGACATTTTTAGCTTTCATTCAATGAAATGAAAAAAGAAAATGTAAAAATTGTGGCGTTTGACTTTGTTGCAGTTTTTTTATCTCATCCTGTAACTCAGTCCTACAAAACAATAGTAATCTTCCTTCCAAATTTCAGGATTCCAACTTTATTGGTTCATCCAAATCCAAAATTAGTACCATTTATTACGCTTAAACAAACAACCTACATCGTACAATCCAATAAAAATCTTATTTTTAAATTTCAGGATTCCAACAAACACTTCCAAAAATACATCTTTACATCATCAACTCTCCTGCTCAACCTTGATTTCCATTCCAAATTTCAAGTTTTTAGCTCACCGTTCACATGATACGAAATGGTACCAAATGAAGTACTTCTTTAGTACACTTATAGTGCAAATTTTCAAAAACACTTTTGTGCATCCAACAAACTCCCAATTCTCATAGACTCCAAATCTAAGAGTTCTAGCTCAACTGTTTCCTCAAATAAAAATTTTAACACTATCTAGTACGAATGTCCAAAACCCCATCCTTATCTGGCCCTTTTGAACAAATAGTGACCCTCGACCAAAATTTTAAGATTCCAGCTTTATCCGCTTAGTCTGGCCATGTCGCTCCACATTTTCGTATAGCCCCCATATAACGGTACCTCCCGATATTCGGTATTTTGATGATTTCAGCAATATTAATCACCGGAATCGTTTCAAATTTCGTACTGCAAGATCCTAATGGGTACTAAAACCTATGGCAAAAATATTTGTATACAGGTTCAGAGCTTCGTATAGCCTCCATATAACGGTACCTCCCGATACTCGGTATTTTCAAGATTTTAGCGACATCATTTACCGGAATTATTTCGAATGAAAAAAAATGTATATGCAGGTCCGCGTCTTCGTATAGCATTTTCATGATTTTTGCGACATTATTCACCGTAATTGTAACAAATTTCGTATTTGGAGTTCGTAATGGGCACTACTAAAAAATTTCGTATGCAGGTCCACGTCTTCGTATAGTCCCCATAAAACGGTTTTCATTTAAGTGGTCGTTTTCGGATTTTTTTCAAAAATGTTAACTGTCCTTCGAAATGGTGGAGGGTATTAAAAGGGTAATAAACCCTCAGTTCGAGCGAACTTAAAGCCTTTTTCCCTTTTATTTATTTATTTTGGAATTTTTTCAAAATATTTAATATAATAATCTTATGACTACATGCAAATAAAAATATGTGCTACATTTTAGCAGATAATACTATCGTACGAAATTTTCCCAAATAGACTCCATGACCACATATCTCGTCCAAACAAATTGTCACAGTACGATACAGAATGTTGCAACCAAAACGGCAAGCCGGAAGTTTTCTTAACATTGATTTACAAAAATCTTATTATTGCCATTAAAATGGTTCCTTCAACAAAAAACGACAACAAAAATGTGGAAAATACACAAACTATTCTAATATTTGTTGATGAAATCTCCGTTGTCTAGCCGCTGAACGTGTGAAAATACCCCGTCGAAAATGACTTAATAGGTAAAACAATTTAACTTTACACTCAACTTATTTATCTACACAGAGATGGTGGCGATGATGATGTTGACAATGTGGTTGATGATGATTATGACAATTGGGTTGTTTGCAAAATATTACTTTTGTTGTTGTTGTGGGACCCCTGTGGGTGGATGGCGAAAGGTGTTATCACCGACTCTATTAAATTTACAGCTATTTTTATCGTCGTCTTTGGCAAATAACGATTGTAGCGTGTCTTAAATCATTCAACAAATATTCTTTCAGGTGAATTTTATTCCAGCTCTCCATTCGCATCGACACCGCCTGTCAGTTGACAGCGAATTCTTAAAACTGTTACTAGTCGGGGAAGTTAATAAAACTAAAAAGTATTGAAAAACAAGTGTCTGGGAAGTGTTTGTTTTTTACAACATCGAGTTGGTTGGCTATTGTTCCTGGATTCTGCGAAAAAAAAAAAAACAAAATGAGTAATCACAACGAAGGAATCGACAATTTGGGTTTCAAATTTTCATCCAGTGATTTGGAGAATTGTGAAAATCCCAATTCAAATGTTAGTGTTAAAATTTTGAAAGAAACTGAGAATTGAATTTTTAGAAAGCTTAATGAAGTGAGAATAATAAATTGTGTGTGTTTAACGATATCGAAAATGATATTCCAAACATCCTTAGAAACAATTAAAAAAAAATAAAAATTAACAAAAACAAGTAAAAAAGCCATTTGGAACGAATTAGGACATTTTAAAAAAATAAAAATAAAATCCTTTAAAAATTCTGTTAAAATCTCGGAAGGTGCCGATATATGGCATAAACGATATTGTGGACCTATATAGACAAATCTATGTCTAGCGATAAAGTACTCACAAATTACTCCTTGTATTTAAGACAATTCCGTTTAAAAATGTGGCTAAAATCAACTAAATACCGAATATCGGGGGTACTGTTATATGGGGGACATATGATATCGTGGACATATATAGATAATTCTCTTTCAATGAATAAAGTACTCACAAGGAATTCGTTGTGCGGATTTTCAGACCATTCCATTGGAAAATGTGGATAAAATCATCAAAACCCCGAATATCGGGGGATACCGTTTTAAGGGGCTTATACGATATTTTGGACCTATATAGACAATTCCCTTTCAGGGGGTAAAGTGCTCACTAGGAACACCTTGTGTAGAATTTTAAACAATTCCGTCAAAAAATGCGGCTAAAATCATCGAAATACCGAATATCGGGGGGTACCGTTGTATGGGGGATATACGATATCGTAAACCTATATAGACAATTCTCTTTCAGGGGGTACAGTGCCCACAAAGAACTCCTCGTGTGGATTTTCAGACTATTCTATTAAAAAATGTGGCTAAAATCATCAAAATACAGAATATTGGGGGTACCGTCATATGGGGGCTATACGATATCGTGAACCTATATAGATAATTCTCTACCAAGAGATAAAGTGCTCTTAGAGAACTGCTTGTGTGGATTTTCATACAAATCCATTGAAAAATGTGGCTAAAATCATCAAAATACCGGATATAGGGGGTACCGTTGTATGGGGAACTTGACCTGCCTGCAGACAAAAGAGAGATCTGGGCAAAATTATAGCTTTCTATCTTAATTCGTTTAGCCTGTAGCGTGATTACAACAGACGGACGGACAGGACTAAATCGTCTTAGAATTTTACGCTGATCGAGAATATATATACTTTGTTGGGTCTAAAATGATTATTTCGATGAGTTACAAACGGAATGACGAACTTAATATACCCTCCATACTATGTATGGGGGAGGGTATAAAAACAAGTTAACAACTATCAGTCGGTTGTGCCGACAGGTGATATACACCTCAGCCAATAATCGATTATTAAAATATATTTAGATTTCAGCTACGATTATTCAATTTGTTGATCCTCTATGCAGTAGGTTCCGAAGGAATGGGCCAATATTGTCAATTTTATATCGGACCTAAATAAATATGATATAAATATTGTGACTTGCCAGGTTTGGACCATATTGGTTACTTCCTACACTTTATATGAAATATGTGATAATTTTTAGAAAATGATATAGTCGACGGAAGTGAATTGAAATTTTTGTTACCAATTTTATGCGAAATCATAATTTCCATATTCCTCTCAGGTTTCTAGTTGAGAGAAATATTTAAATACAGCAACTTTTAAAGAATCACTTCTTTGTTTCGCAAGTTATGACCGATAAAATAATTGAAAATTGTGACCCTTTGTGGGTGAGGTACTAGAAGGGGTTCGTAGATATATATCTTCTTTTTTCAAAATTTTGAACACTTTGTAGGGGAAGTACAGGATGGAGTGCGCCGATATATCCCATATCACAGCAGATCTTGTGTTAGTAAAAATAATTGGATGTGTGAAATCGGATGCTTATTTCAGGTTTTGTTATCGTTTTGATTATTCAAAAATTTGACCCTTTGTAAGGGAGTTACCAGAAGAAATTGTCCGTTCTTTGCCATCTTTATAACAGATCTTGTGTTGATGGAAATATTGAGATGTGCAAAGTCTGAATGGAATCGAAAGTTAACTTCGCTTTTTAGGAGCTTCATGGATATTCAAAATGTTGACCCTTTGTGGTGGATGTACTTGACGGAGAGGACCGATATTGTCCATTTTCTCACCTGACCTACATTGTACTTGTGACCTATGTTGGCCTTTTGTCCAAATTCAGTTTGGAAGATTTCGATTTTGAAATAATAGAGCCCCGCCGAGATGTTACACTTATTCGAAAAAAAAATCAAGAAAGTCGACGTCCATTTTACAGCTACATATAATCGAATGGTCATCTAAAATGCTCGACCCTGTCCCTAACTCTCTCCTCATGTAGAGCGACTGCAAAATCAGGAGAATTTTTTTATACCCTACACCACACAGTGGTAAAGGTATTAGGTCTTTATGCATTTGTTTGTAACATGGAGAAGGAAGCGATATAGACCCATAGTTACTTTTAAGAATATTCATAGAATCACTTTCTGAGTCGATTTGTGCATGTCAGTCAGTCATTGTCCGTCTACCCATGTATTCTTGTGAACAAAATGCAGGTCGCATTTATTATCCGATTGAGATGAAATTTTCTAAACAATATTAGTTTGGCCCAAGGACGAACCCTATTTAAATTGGTGATAATCGGATCAGATTTGAATATAGCTCCCATATATATTTTCAACCGATTTCGAGTTAATTGTGCACCAAATGGCCAATATCAGACCAAACGATCTGAATTTTGGCACATCCGACCGAATTTAGTCAGAAGCAAGTACATCAAATTTGGAGAAAATCGGTTCAGATATAGCTACCATAAATATGTTTCATCCGATTTGGGGTTTTAAATGCCTCACATGCGTAATATGGACTCCAGAAAAATTATATTTGGTACCAGACATCAGTACAAATTGTACAATTTTATCGAGATCGGTTCTGATTATCCTAATAGCTCCCATGTATATTTTTATTCAACATCAGGTTTATTGTGCACCAAGTGGCTAATGTCAACCCATTGAACTAAATTTTAACAATTACGACTGTATTCATCCTAGAAACCAAAACTTTGGTGTAAATCGGTTTAGATATAGCTATAGCTCCCATATATATGTTTTATCCGAATTTTGGGCTATCCGACCGAATTCAGTCTAGAATCATGTACATTAAATTTAGTGAAAAGCGGTTCAGATATAGCTATAGCTCCCATATATATGTTAATATATATTTTTTTATTTTTCGACCTTTTGTGGGGGAAGTACCAGAAGGAGTGGACTGATATTGATTTTCCCTGTAATTGTTCTTCTTCATCCTCTCAAAGCCTATAATAGTCAAGAACATTGTTATCCCATATTGAGGTAAAATATCTGATACTGCTGCGGTCAGCCTTCACCGATTCCTAGATCTGGCAATCTAATTAATAGAAGGGAGGTTCTTCATCTTTACCGTTACCGTTTAGATGAACCGAGCTAGTTTCGAAATAATTTTTTTTTTAAATAGGGAAGGGGAAACATTCCGCGCGGAATATTTATTCATGATTGTCCTGATTGAATTCAACGTCGAGGCAAAACTATATATTAGACGTAAAGCTTTCTTCTTAAATGTTATTAACAAATGTTGATATCATTCAAATAGCCTATAGCAGAATATTAAAAATAGAATAGACTAATTAATATTTTTATTGAATAGATAAAAATTGTACTTTCCCATTTCAGAAAGTTACCCCACAAAATGATGTCGAGAATAATACAGAGACGACAACAGCAAAACGTGATAACTGGGGCAATGACATTGAATTCCTAATGTCCTGCATAGCTCTCTCCGTGGGCCTGGGTAATGTGTGGCGATTTCCCTTTATTGCCCTGGAAAATGGCGGCGGAGCCTTCCTGATACCCTACATTATAACACTGCTGCTGGTCGGCAGGCCCATTTATTATTTGGAAATGATTTTGGGGCAATTTTCCAGTCGAGGAAGTGTGAAGGTCTTTGAATACGCACCAATTATGAAGGGTAAGAAGGGACACTATGTTTGAAAATTTAAAATAATTTTGTTTTTCATATTTTCCCAGGCATTGGTTATGGCCAAGCCATACTGACATTTTTCATTGCCACCTACTATTCATCGCTGATGGCTTTGACGTTACATTATCTGGTGGATTCATTCTATCCCACATTACCGTGGAGTTATTGCCGCGAAGAATGGGGTGATCAGTGCATAGATTCAAAAATCAAAACGGATGGAACTTTGAGGGAGGTTGCCAACTTTACTGGTGGCGTAAAAAAAACTTCGGCGGAATTTTATTTTGTGTAAGTAGACACATTACCTTTAATAGCTGGCTTCTGTTCCGACATATAAGTGAACTCGAAAAAAACACATTCCACGTGATTAGATGTGGCAAACAACATCGTCGTATCCATAACCATAACTATAAACGTACGTACATTTAATGTTATCGATTATCGATGAACAGCAGTTATTTACATATTTCTGCAAAATTGTTCAAATACAGGCACATAAATAAAAGCGCGCGCGAAAAATTACTTTTAAATGACATATAAGGGTTAGATGTCATTTATGACAACTGAAAATAAAATAGAAAAATGATAAATAAATAAAAAAAATCCGTTGTGTTTTATGGTTATGGCCAAAAACCAAAATTAAATTGATATCTACAGTAAGGTTTATGGCTATGGCGTTATGGTATGTCACAAATAATCAATTAAGCTACACCTCATACAGCGTGACCGTTGTGCCACTAAAGTATCAATTTTGCCACTTTTTTTGGGCTTTGATACCTTTGTGCCACTTTTTTATTTTGATCCTAAATGAGCCACTTTTTTGAATTTTTGTGCCACTTTTTTATACATTGTGCCACCTTTTTTATACCCTCCACCATAGTAGGAAGGGTATATTAAGTTTGTCATTCCGTTTGTAGCACCTCGAAATATACATTTTAGACCCCACAAAGTATATATATATATATTCTTGCTCAGCATAAAATTCAACGTCGATTTATCAATGTCCGTCCATCTATCCGTCTGTCCGTCTGTGGAAATCACTCTAGCTTCCGAACGAAATGAAGTAAGTTGAAGTAAGTGCAGGTCTGCGTCTTCGTATAGCCCCCATATAACGATATTCGGCATTTGCCCGATATTCGGAATTTGTCTGTGTTGTCTGTGTAGGTTCACGTCTTCTTACAGCCCCTATATAACGGTACCCCGATATTCGGTATTTTTGATGATTTTACCGACATTATTTACGGGAACTATTTCAAATTCTGTATTTGAACTTCGTAATGGATACTACAGCCTATGCCGGAAAATTGTCTGTGCAGTTCCACGTTTTATAACCCCTATGCACCTCCCTATATTCGGTATTTTATTTATTTTAGCTACATTATAAACAGATTTTTTTCAAGTTTCGCATTTACATATTATAATAGCTTATGACAAAATTTGCCTATGCAGGTCCACGTCGTCGTATAGACCCTAATATACGGCTACATTCGGTATTTTTAAGATTTTAACAGAATTTTTAACCGATTTTATTTTATTATTTTTTTTTTTTTTGTGAAAATTGCCAAATTTTTACCACATGGTGGAGGGTATTCAAAGTTCGGCCCGGCCGAACTTACTACTTTTTTACTTGTTTTAAACAAAATGTGAAATAAATTGTGCCACTTTCTGTGCCACCATTTAAAGTGATATGTGCCACTTTTTTTAAGAAATGATATTTTTTGTGCTACTTTTTGAAAATTTCCAGCGGTCACACTGACCTCATAAGATGTTCAAACCAATCTTATGAGGTGTAATGTAATTGATTATTTGTGACATACCATAACGCCATAACCATAACCCTTACCGCTGTTTTATACGGTTAGGGTTATGGCACGTCTTATTGAACCTTTATGCTTGTCTACGATTTTCCCGCGTTAAATAAGAACAAGTTAAAAAGCAGCTAAGTTCGGCCGGCCTCCACCATTCGGAAGAAACTCGAATATGTAAAAAAAATCATCGAAAAATACCGCTCAAATGAAAACCTTTATATGATAGGCTATTCGAAGACGTGATGCTGCATAAGTAATTTTTGATTCTGGGCTGTAGTAACGATTCCGAACTTTAAATGCGAAACTTGAAACAATTCCAGTAAATAATGTCGCTAAAATCGTGGGAATACTGAATAATACCGTTGTATGGGGGCTATAAACAGACGTGGACCTGCATAGACAACTTTCCGTCATTGATTGCAGTACTTTAAACTTCAAATTCGAAATTTGAAACAATTCCGGTGAATAGTGTCGCTGAAATCAGCAAAATAAAATAATATAAGGATGTGCCGATATATGGGTGCTATGCAAAGTTCTAGTCCTGCATAGACAATTCTCTGTCATAGAATGTGGTACCTATTAAAAACTTCAAATACGAAATTTGAAACAATTCCGGTGAATAATATCGCTAAAATCATGGAAATACCGAATATCTGGGTGCACCGTTATATGGGCGCTAGATTCAAAAGTGGACCTATATAGACAATTCTCTTCCAGAGGGTAAAGTACTCAGAAGGAACTCCTTTTGTGAATTTTTAGACAGTTCCATTAAAAATGTGGCTAAAATCATAAAAAACTCCAATATCGGGAGGTACCGTTATATGGGGAATATACAATATCGTGGATCTATATAGAGAATTCTCTTCCAGGGGATAAAGTACTCAGAGGGAACTTCTTGTGCGAATTTTCAGAAAATTCAATTGAAAAATTTGGCTAAATCGTGAACCTATATAGATAATTCCCTTCCAGGGGGTAAAGTACTCACAGAGAATTCCTTGTCTAGAACTTCAGACAATTCCAGTGAAAAATTCATTAAAATACCGAATATCGGGTGTACCAGGGGGATGCGATATCATGGACCTATATAGACAATTCTTTTTCAGGGTATAAAGTAGTTACTAAGAATTTCAGACAATTCTATTGAAAAATTTGGCTACATACGGAATATCGGGAGGAACCGATATATAAGAGATATACGATATCGTGGACCTATATAGACAATTCTCTTCCAGGGGGAAAGGTCTCCCAAGAAACTCCTTTTGTGGATTTTAAGACAATTCCGTTGAAAACTGTAGCTAAAATCATCAAAATACCGAATATCAGAGGTACCGTTATATGGGGCTGTACCATATTGTGGACCGATATTGCCCATCTTAGAACTTGACCTGCCTGCAGACAAAAGACAAATCGGTGCAATATTTTAGCTTCCTCTTTATTCCTTTTAACTATAGTGTGATTACAACAGACGGACAAACGGAAGGACGGACAGGGCTTAATCGTTCTAGAATTCTACGCTGATCAGGAATATATATACTTTGTTAGGTCTAAAATTATTATTTCGATGTTTTACAAACGGAATGACGAACATAATATACTCTCCATACTACGGTGGGGGGTATAAAAACAGGGAACCCCCATTTGGAATGGGGTTTCTCTTTCACTTTCTTCACCGTATCGACAAAGAGAAACAAGCCAAAAATATCATAAATTCTGACTTTCACCCCTGATTTTCTTTTCCAGAAATATAGTTCTTCATGAAAAAGCCAACATAGATGATGGTATTGGAACTCCCAACTGGAGACTGGCCATAACTTTGGCCGTGTCATGGCTGGTAATAGGTGGTATCATCATTAAGGGCATCAAAAGTTCCGGCAAAGCTTCCTATTTTCTGGCCATATTTCCCTATGTTATTATGTTGGTATTGCTGGTCCGTTCCCTCACGCTGCCTGGGGCCTTTGATGGCGTTCTGTTTTTCCTCACCCCACAATGGGATCGTCTGCTGGATGCCAAGGTGTGGTATGCTGCTGTTACCCAGGTTTTCTTTTCCCTCACCGTATGCTATGGCATTATTCTGATGTATGCCTCATTTAATCGTTTCCGCCAAAATATCTACAGGTATGGGTTTTGAGATTTTCAAAATTTTCTAGTTGAATTTGAATAAAATTTGTTGTAATATCTAAAGAGATTGTAATATAGTGACATCGTTAGACACGTGCACCTCTCTGTTGTCGGGCATTGTTATTTTTGGCATTTTGGGAAATTTGGCCCATGTTTCGAATAATCCCGATATTAAGAGTGTGGTTAAGTCGGGGCCGGGATTGGCTTTTATTTCATATCCAGATGCGATTGCTAAATTTGAGGCGGTACCACAGGTAAGAGGGTGATCAGATGAGAGCAAAAAATAAATAAGAGAAAATCCCTCTGTTTATCATTTTTTCACGGGAGAGAAACTTTTTTAATGAGATTAAGAGAGTAATTATTTAATGCCTTTTTCAGATTTTCTCCGCCCTCTTCTTCCTCATGATGTTCATTTTGGGAGTGGGCAGTAATGTGGGCGTCATTTCAAGTGTAATAACTGTCATCTGTGATGGTTTTCCTGCCATTAAACGCTGGATTGTGGTTTGTGTCATGGTGGTGATTTGCTACTGCTTCGGCCTGATGTACATCACACCCGGAGGCCAATTTATTATGAATTATATTGATTTCTATGCCGTCACTTTGGTTGCCATCGTATTGGGAATTTTCGAATTGATTGCAGCCAGTTGGATTTATGGTAAGTTTGGGTAAGGCTAGATTACACATGTTGTTGGAGTCATATGTCAACTGACTTTTTTTTTCACAAAAATCTGTATAATTTTTATACCCTCCACCATACATAGTATGAAGGGTATATTAAGTTTACCATTCCGTTCGTAACTCGTCGAAATAATAATTTTAGATTTAGCAAAGTATATAAAATTCTAATACGTTTAGCCCTGTCCATCCATTTGTCCGTCTGTTGTAATCAATCTGGAGACAAAATGAATAAAGATAGGAAGCTAAAATTTGTACAGATCAGTCTTTTGTCTGCAGGCAGGTCAAGTTCGAAGAAGGGATATATCGCCCACGATATCGTATAGCCCCCATATAACGGTACCCCAGACATTCGGTATTTTGACGATTGTAGCCAACATTTTCAATGAAATTGTCTGAAAATCCGCACAAGGAGTTCCTTCTGAGTAGTTCACCTGGACAATACTCACTCAGGGTGTCTCTATAGTCAGGGAGTCTCTATAGACGAGCTGCTGGTCAGGGAGTCTCTTTAGACGAGCTATTGGTCAGGGAGTCTCTATAGAAGAGCTGCTGGTCAGGGAGTCTCTATAGACGAGCTGTAGGTCAAGGAGTCTCTATGGATGAGCTGTAGGTCAGGGAGTATCTATAGACGAGCTGTAGGTCAGGGAGTCTCTATAGACTAGCTGTAGGTCTTTAGACGAGCTGCTGGTCAGGGAGTCTCTATAGACGAGCTGTAGATCAGGGAGTCTCTATAGACGAGCTGTAGCTTAAGGAGTCTATATAGACGAGCTGTGGGTAAGGGAGTCTCTATAGACGAACTGTAGTTCAAGGAGTCTCTATAGACTAGCTGTTGGTCAGGGAGTCTCTATAGACGAGCTGCTGGTCAGGGAGTCTCTATAGACGAGTTACTGGTCAGGGAGTATCTATAGACAAGCTACTGGTCAGGGAAAATGTGGGATTGATGGCCACAAGTCAAACTCATGTCCAAACCAGATGAGATGTGTTATATGCCTTGAGGCTAAACAAGAGAATACACATCACTATATGGGAACAGGCTCATATTGTAGATATGCGATTTAAAATCCTACAAATTAACTTAGGAAGAGGACGGCAAGCTCAAGATCTAATGATAAAAAATGCCTCTGAAATGGAAGCTGATGTCATTCTAATCAGCGAGCAATACAAGAAATGTGAAGGTAAACTGTGGTACCAAGACGTCAGTACAAAGGCGTCGATATATGTCAGAAATTCAGGAATAATTATACAAAGCGTTGAGGAGAACAATGAAAATTTCGTTGTCATACACACAAAGGAATTGAGCATATATAGTTGTTATTATTCGCCAAACATGGAGCTACAAGAATTTTTAAAAAAAATCTGTGAACTGGAAAGGCACATAAAATTACAGCATACACCCGTCTTAATTGCTGGAGATTTTAACAGCAAATCGTCCGAATGGTACTCACGGATAACTGACAAAAGAGGTTTAGCAGTCAGCGAGATGATAGCATCACTTGGGCTAGCTATACTCAATAAAGGTAATACTCCTACTTTTATGAGAGGCAACGCCACTTCAATCATCGACATTTCATTGGTCTCAACAACAGTTGCACCGACAGTACTAAACTGGAAAGTTTTAAGTGACGAATCACTAAGTGACCACCAATACATATCGTTTGAAATGGACCATACGATGTCTGCGACAAACACTACTAGGCCCAGGTGGAACATAAGGAAACTAAACACTTCCAAATGCAAGAACAAAATTATTGATTTAAAGGGTAGTGTCAATCTCAATGAATACGATGATGTGAACAGTGCAAGCAAATTGCTTGTAAAGGTTCTCACACAAGCATGCGAGAATGGGATGATAGAAACAAAGCCAGTAGTTAACAACAAAAAGCATGTCTACTGGTGGAATAACGATATTGCTGATTTGCGAAAAAAATGCATCAAAGCAAAAAGGGTAGCAACGAGAAAAAAAGGAGACATAGAAGCTGCAGGCCTATATAAAGTCGCTAGGAAAAATCTTCGCTTAGCAATAAAAAATGCAAAGAAAAAATCGTGGGAGTCACTAATTAAGGAAGTGCAAAATGACCCTTGGGGTCTCCCATATAAGATTATCACAAAGAAAATTGGAAATAGAAGTACTATACCAGGGATAAGAGATCCACAGTGGGCTTTAACAATAGTTGAAACTCTTTTTCCGAAGTGTACCAACAGAAGGGAAATATTTCCCGAACAACAGGAGAGAAACTATGAGTCCCTTACCACCGCAGAAATCATAGAGACATGTCAAAAATTAAAGAAAAGGAAAGCACCAGGACCTGATAGAATCCCAAACGAAATAATATCTCTTGTTGGAACAACGTGGCCAGAAATATTCCAACATGTTTTCAATCGATGTTTAAGGAAGGGCGAGTTTCCACCAGTTTGGAAAATGCAGCAGTTAGTGTTGCTACGTAAGAACGACAAACCGTTAGATAATCCGTCGTCGTACAGACCACTTTGCATGCTAGACACATGTGGCAAATTCCTAGAAAAATTGTTGTTAAACAGGCTAGAACAAGAAGTACAAATAAGCGGTGGTTTCTCGCCAATGCAGTTCGGTTTCATCAAAGGAAAATCCACCATAGATGCTATAAGGGAAGTCGTTGATTGTGCAAAAATGTGTTTGAATCAAATGAGATACTGTGCGATAATCACCTTAGATATCAAGAACGCATTCAATTCTGCGGACTGGGATGTCATAAAACACACAATAAGGATGCGTAACATATCAGGATACCTGATCAATATTATCGATAGCTACCTGGAAAATAGAACTCTGTTGTATGATACAGAAGAGGGTATCAAGCACTATAAAATAACATCTGGGGTCCCTCAAGGTTCCATCTTGGGTCCCTTCCTGTGGAACCTCATGTATGATGGCTTGCTAAACATAATATTACCAAAAGGCGCAAAAATAGTTGGGTATGCTGACGATATAGCTCTTATCGTCGACCAACCATCAACAGAACTAGTCGAAATTACAGCAAACGACAGTTTGTCAAGGATCTCAAGGTGGCTTGTATCTAAAAAGCTATCCCTTGCCCCCCATAAAACTGAGGCGATTCTCATAACTCGAAGGAGAAATTTTAATCTTCCAAAGCTATTAGTTGACGGATATGATATTAAAATAGAAAACTCACTAACATATCTAGGAGTAATTCTCGACAATAGGTTGTCTTTTACACAACACGTCAAAACAGTATCTGAGAAAGCAGTTAGAACTGCAAACAAGCTAGTTAGAATAATGCCCAACATTAATGGCCCAAACCAACTAACCAGGAGATTAATTGCTTCTGTAGCGTACGCTCAAGTAACGTATGCCGCACCAATCCTAAGCGATGTCATAGCAAGAAGTAAGAATTTACGTGGGCACCTAGAAAAGGTGCACCGTTTGTGTGCATTACGAATTGCATCCGCTTATCGCACTACGTCCACAGCAGCGCTGGCTATCCTAGCTGGAGTGCCTCCTATTACTCTAACGTTAGACGAAAGGAGATACATATATGAAAAGAGAAAATTATTACCAATCGGATACACAAAAAGAGATGTGTCTCAAATAAAACGACAAGCCAGAGATATACTATTTGCACAGTGGCAATCTATATGGAATAACTGTGAAAAAGGTAGATGGACTTTCAAGATAATACCTCAATTGGAAAGGTGGATAAATAGAAAACATGGAGAACTAAATTTCTATTTAACTCAAGTTCTCAGTAGCCATGGAAACTTCGGTAGTTACCTATATCGCTTTCATTTAAAAAATGAAGCAACCTGTGAAATATGTCACGAAAGCGAAGACAACGTGGAACACACACTTTTCTGGTGCAAACTCTGGGAGAACGAAAGAAGCGTCTATAATATATCGACTCAATGGTCCGTTGAGGATCTAGTTAAAAACATGTTGGAAAGTAAGGAAAGATGGTCGCAGTGCTCAATGTTCATTGAAAAAGTATTGACCGAAAAGGTGAAGTACCTGAACAGATATGAATCGAACCCCTAATCACAATCGAATGGACGGGGGAATAGAAATAAGCTGAAAGCCGTATGATCGGTTCATGAACACCACCTCGAAGTAATGCGAAAGCGGTCCCGGGTGGTTGTTCCGGTGTAGGACCACTATTGGTAGTGCGCTATCATTACGTCCAAAAAAAAAAAAAAAAAAAAAAAAAAAACTGGTCAGGGAGTCTCTATAGACAAGCTACTGGTCAGGGAGTCTTCATAGGCGAGCTGCTGGTCAGGAAGTCTCTATAGACGAGCTGTTGGTCCGGGAGTCTCTGTAGGTCTGGGAGTCTCTACAGACGAGCTGTAGGTCAGGGAGTCTCTGTAGACGAACCGTTGGTCAGGGAGTCTCTATAGACGAACTGTTGGTCAGGGAGTCTCTATAGACAAACTGTTGGTCAGGAAGTCTCTATAGACTAGTTGTAGGTCTTTAGACGAGCTACTGGTCAGGGAGTCTCTATAGACGAACTACTGGTCAGGGAGTCTCTCTATAGACGAGCTGCTGGTCAGGGAGTCTCTATAGACGAGCTGTAGGTCAGGGAGTCTCTCTATAGACGAGCTGTAGGTCAGGGAGTCTCTCTATAGACGAGCTGTAGGTCAGGGAGTCTCTCAATAGACGAGCTGTATGTCAGGGAGTCTCTCTATAGACGAGCTGTAGGTCAGGGAGTCTCTATAGACGAGCTGTAGGTGTGGGAGTCTCTATAGACGAGCTGTAGGTGTGGGAGTCTCTATAGACGAGCTGTAGGTGTGGGAGTCTCTACAGACGAGCTGTAGGTCTGGGAGTCACTACAGACGAGCTGTAGGTCAGGGAATCTTTATAGACGAGCTGTTGGTCAGGGAGTCTCTATAGAGGAGCTGTTGGTCAGGGAGTCTCTACAGACGAGCTGTTGTTGGTCAGGGAGTCTCTACAGACGAGCTGTTGTTAATCAGGGAGTCTCTATAGACGAGCTGTTGGTCAGGGAATCTCTATAGACGAGCTGTTGGTCAGGGAGTCTCTATAGACGAGCTGCTGGTCAGGGAGCCTCTATAGACGAGCTGCTGGTCAGGGAGTCTCTATAGACGAGCTGTTGGTCAGGGAGTCTCTATAGACGAGCTGTTGGTCAGGGAGTCTCTATAGAGGAGCTGTTGGTCAGGGAGTCTCTACAGACGAGCTGTTTTTCAGGACTAGGACTATGTATAACATAATTTGTAATCGAGCCTTTGCTGCCCGATTAAAAAATAAAATACATATACGTCCAGTCCAGGTACCCAAAGAAAATTGTTGTAATTTCGTTCACTTCACATTTTCAGGAGTGAAAAACATTTGCCGTGACATCAAATTTATGCTGAAAATTAAGACCTCCATATACTATCGGATTTGCTGGGGCATTGTTACGCCAGTATTCATGACAGCCGTATTAATTTATATGCTGGTGGACTATGAACCACTCAAATACAATGATACACTATATCCCGAGAGTCTCTATGGTAAGAGTTTTAAGTTGTACTCAACTCAAAGTTGTATTCAATTAATTAATCTTTTTTCTCGCTTCCAGCTCTGGGTTGGTGTATATCTGCCGTTGGCATTGGACAACTCTTAATATGGGGCTTTTATACCGCCTACACTGCTCCCCAGTTTAGCTGTGGGCAACGTTTCAAAGTTGCATTTAAACCTACCTCACAATGGGGACCCCTTGATCCGACAACGCTCAAGGAATACAAAGAATATTGTAATGACTGCGAACAGTCTTGTGGGGTTGCGAGAAAGGGTCTTTGGTATAGATTTTATGATAATATTTTCGGTTAGCAGTTATTGTTTTTTATAGGAAATGAATCTTATAACTTAATGTGATGAGTATTAGAAATAAAAGAATAAAAATAATAAATACAAAAAAATTGTTAATTGATTATTTGCAGGAAATTCCGATTACCTTTATTTCATTGTAAGATGTCCTTAATTTGTTACTGTAGTATTATTGTAGATTATTTTAATCAAATATATCAAGATTTTTACATTAAAGGCCTATGATTGTATGTCAAAAGAGAATAAGTGTTTATTAAGATTACCGTAAACGTGCGTGGACCTATAAAGATAATTTTCGGCTAGGGGAAGACAATTCAATAAATTTGATCAAATGTCAAAAATATGGAGGGTATATTAAGTTTGTCATTCCGTTTGTCATTCCGTTTGTAACACCTCGCTGTATACACAAAGTATATATAGGTATTCTTGATCAGCATAAAATTCTATGTCGATTTTGCAATGTCCGTCCGTCTATCCCTCTATCCGTCTGTCCGTCTGTCCGTCTATAGAAATCACTCTAGCTTCCGAACGAATTGAAGTAAAGTGACAAAATTTCACTCAAATGTATATTATGTCTGCAGGACTTTTGGTATTAAATGGGTCATGTAGGTTCAAGTTTTCATATAGCCCCCACATAACGATACCCCCCGATATTCGGTAATTTGATGATTTTAGCGACATTATTCACCGGAATCGTTTCAAATTTGGTATTTGTAGTTCGTAATGGATACTGCATCCTAAGTCAAAAAATGGGCCATGTAGGTCCACGTCTTCGTATAGCCCCCATATTACGGTACCTCCCGATATTCGGTATTTTGATGATTTTAGCGACATTGTTTACTGGGATTGTTTCAAATTTCGCATGTGAAGTTCGTAATGGATACTTCAGCCCATGCCAGAAAAACGTCTATTCAGGTCCAGGTCTTCGTATAGGCCCCATATATCGGTACCTCCCTATATTCGATATTTTGATGATTTTACCTACATTGTTCATCGTTTTTTTTTAAGTTTCGTATTTGAATAGTGTAATGGCCTATGACAAACGTTGCGTATGCAGTTCAACTTCTTCATATAGACTCCAATATATTCGATGTTTTTAAGATTTTAACGGAATTTCCAAATGGTGGGTTGCATTTAAAGTTCGGCCGAGCCAAACTGCTGTTATGTGAAAACTAAAATATATTGATAAGTTTCTACTTATGCACGTTTATTTGAATATTTTTGCAGAAATATTTAAACAACAGCTATTTATGCTTATGTCACAGCTAGTCGAAAATATTAAATGTGTCTACTGTTATAGTTATGGTTACGGCGATGTTGTATGTCACGTCTAATTGAACCTAAACACCAATTATACATGTATTTTAAAAAATTTAAATTTGAATAAAAATCTAAAATTTGAAAAATACACATGAAATTCTAGTTTTTGTTTCGCTTTCATTTTCTTTCGATAAACCGTATGTATAAACCGGCTGTAAATTTAATTGTATTATGATATCATTACCTTAAATTCAATGTAGCGCACACGAATTTTCAACTTCCCCACTATGGTAAAATCTTTCGCATGTCCGTATTTTCTATATTCCACCAACTATTGTATTTGCTAATTACAAAAAATTCAATTTTTTATTATTTGTTCCTATTTCCAATATACAAAAATAGATTGTTTAATTTTTATAAGGTTTTAAAATTTTTTTGAATTTTTTATGCATATATTTTCTTCCAAATGCAGAATCTATTTTACTGTATGACATTTTAATGTGCGCCTAGAAATATGCTTTACAATATACATACGATTTCACTGAAGTGGTGGGTCGTTTGTTTTGTTTCTGTTTTTATAACCCGAAAAGCACTTGGTGTTGTAATCACCCAAGCAACCAAAAATATAGATAATAGCTACAACTTTTAGCCGACCAAATTCAAAGAATTGCAATGTTTCCAATAATTCCATGTGAATTTATTTTCTTCACTAGCAAGTGCCCGCTAATTGGACAGATAAAAATGTACCTTACAATTTTAGATTCGTTCTAACAGTTCCTTATACGCCTTTTCAGTACTTAAAATGAACATTTTTTTGTTTTAAAACCAAAACTATATTTATCGTACTAAATTTTCAAATTCTCAAGGTCTTATATATTATTCAAAATTTGTCCTTTTTTTGAAAGAGTAATAGGAAAATACTTACTTGTTGCACCAAAAAGTCTTCAAATTTCTCATTTCGAAGTTTACAGAGCAGGATAATGGTAAAATTATTATACAATGAATTTTTATTGCCAAAACAATTTTAACGTCTCCATATGTAAACCCTAGAAACCAACAGTGACCAAAATATTAAAATTTAGAATTTCAGCTCTATCCCTTCACCAAATACCAAATATAGCCATATACAAAACAAAATAAATCTATTTATCCTCGACACCAGCAGTGATTCAAAATTAGTACTGAATTTTACCTATCGAACAAATGTTGCACACATTTCCCATATCCCATTTCTAGATACAAACAGTGACCTTAATATCAAATTTGATGATTCCAGCCTTATCCCTTCACCAAAATTTACCAAATTCAGTACCATTTAGTACCTTTCGTACAAATATAAGTCGCCTATCCAAACCACCGTCGAATCTAAAACACAAATACCATCGGCAATCTAAATATCAAATTTTAGAATTTTATTCCTATCCCTTCACCTAATTCCAAATATAGTACCATTTATTTTTATTTTTATTTTATTTATTTATTTAATCTATTAGTCTATGGATAATTCCTTACAGACTATATATGTACAAAAATAATAATTGTATAATTAAAATTAAGAATTTAAAAACATTATTATTTTACTTTTTATAGTATTAATATCCATTGTAAAATCGATAAAATTATAAAACGCGTTAAAATCTTTTGAAATTCTTGTTAAAGGATCAGCGTTTGCATAGCTCATCCTGGAGAATTGAATTGCTAGTGGTGCATAGTGGCGGGTAGTACGTTGAGGAACATTGAAATTTATGTTGTTAACAAGAAAGCCAGCAGAAATATCACCCATAATCACATTATAAAGAAATGAGACATTTATCATTTTTCTACGGCTTTCCAGAGTTGGCAGCTTGATCAGTGAGAGTCTATCAGTGTATGGTGGAAGATTAGGAATTGGAATTGTTTTTGAACAGACTCGATGCGGTCGCTGTGTGTTTTATAAATTGGATCCCATATGACCGAAGAGTATTCCAAAATTGGGCGAACAATTGACATGTATAAATTTTTTGAAACATAAGGATCCTTAAACTCTTTACTCCAACGTTTCACAAAACCAAGAACTGATTTTGCTTTGTTTATAGAAACAGAAATATGATATTTAAAGTTATGTTTACAATCCAATACAACTCCAAGATCAACGAATGTATCAACTTTTTCCAGAGAATAATCACCGAGGGTGTAACAAGTATCCAATAATTTTTTTCTTGTGAATCTCATAAGTTTGCATTTCGAATAATTAATTTCCATAAGATTAATGTTGCACCAGTTAACAAACGAATTCAAATCATTTTAAAGCAGCTGATTCTTACATATCTCCGAAATGCTAAGAAATATTTTCACATCGTCGGCATACATCAAAATATTTGAAAATTTTATAGATGAAGGTAGATCATTTATAAATAAAGAAAATAGGATTGGTCCTAGATGACTTCCTTGTGGGACTCCAGAAGAAACCATAATACTCTTCGAAATGGCGTTTTTAAAACATACTTTTGTGTTCTATTTTGTAGATATGAACAAATCCATTCGGAACTTCTATTTGTAAATCCAATGTTTTTAAGTTTTAATCGTAATAATTTATGATTAACTTTATCGAATGCCTTGCTGAAATCTGTGTAAATTACATCAGTTTGCTTTCCTTGAAGAAATCCTCGATTTATAACTGTAGTGAACTGAATGGGGTTAGTTGTTGTAGAACACTTCCTCTGAAATCCGTGCTGATAGGGTGAAACAATAGAACTAATGCAATGGATAAGGTTTTCAGTAATCAGTTTTTCGAAAAGCTTTGGAATCACGCCACATCAGATTTCACATTTCAGGAAAAACAGCTTGAGTTATGGAAGCATTGAACAATATGGTAAGAGGATAAACAAAAGCATCGACGCACTTCCTTAGGATGCAACTCGGGATATTATCTGGTCCAAAATCATAGTTATACTTTAAAGTTTTCAATCCATTTAAAACCATAGAGCTGTTTAATAGTGAAATAGATATTGATTGATTAGTATTAATTTCGAAGGGGTAGTTGTTGCCGCTAAATGTTTTAGTAGAATATATTGTACTGAAGAAGTCTGCAAACATGTTAGATATAACATTTATATCACAGGATTCAGCATCATCGTACTTTAAATTTGGTGGAAAATCGGTGGATTTGCACTTCGAATTGACAAATTTGAAGAAAGACTTCGGATTCTGTTTAAAGTTGTTTTTGAGTTTTGTCAGATAATTTTAATAGCAAATATTATTCATAGTAGTATATTCAGACCGTGCTACAGAATATCTTCCGTAGTCAATGGAAGATCCTGTGTTTTTATATTTCTTATATTGTTTATTTTTCACATTTTTAGCCTTTGCCAAAGCTGTAGAGTTCCATGGTGGCCCAGGAAGCTTCTTAATTACATATTTCGGTACGCTAATATCAATAAAATCGTATAGCTTTTTGTAAAAAATATCGATAGCACCATTTAAATCGTAAGTGCTAGACAAAAGGATATCCCAGTCTGTGTTATGCATAAGTTCACGTAACTGCTCAAAGTTTGTTTTCGAAAAACATAAGGATTTCTCACTTTGAGTCACGGGTATGATTTGGTTTCCAGTAGGAAACGAAACATTAATTTTGATAGTTGGATGGTGCTGGTCTTCGGGAAATGTTAACGGATCAATTCGTTGAATGTAACATTCATCCACTTGATTTACAAATATCAGGTCCAATAACTTATTATAGGTGTTACGGATACAATTTATTTGAAAAATACCAAGATCAAAAAGTGTATCGAAGAATAATTCATAAAATTTGTGTATATTTTCGGGCAG